TCCTAGTCCTAGCAGTTGCTGCACAATCACCCTGAGTAGCTACTCTGAGAAACATGACTGCTCTTTAGCCCCAAGCCCTAGGCAACGAACCCGGTCACGCCTTTCTTGGCAACTGCTCCTGAGCGCTACATCTCAAAGATGTGGAGATTACAGCTTTGTTTAAGGTGCCTTGGACTTCGTGCGCAAGGTTGCAAGCTTGCAGGCTTTTTCGGTGACTTCGCTCTCGAAATCCGTATCCTCCCCACATGCCGCAAAATGCTTGCAGTTCTTCTCGTCAAGAACCCCTAACACGAAGGTTGAAAGCATTTAGGCATGCTGACTTGCTGGTTTCGCTTTAGACCGCCGCGCGGGCAAAAGATTGATTGAGTGACCATATCTTCTCTACTGCCCTCTTAAAACCGAAGAACGTCCTGAAGCCTTGAACCAGAACCCTAACCCGTGTCCGGGCCTGACTACCCCAAAAAAACTACAAACCCTAGAGCCGGGGTTCCAAGGACGGCGTTGGTGACGTTGGGAAGAAGCCTCGGTGTCAGGCTCAGTAAGGGTCTAGGGTCCAAGGGTTTGAGATGTGGGTGTTACCACAAAAATCAGGCTTCGGGAGTACCCATTATTACAGATAATGATTACAAGGATATTGGGATCTGTTTTGGGGCTCCCTTCATATGGAAAGCCCCTTGTGGCCTGGGGCTCCAGGCCAGCTACACCTTCTCGAGACCCAAATGACACAGGCGAGGATTCACAGGCTTTTACGCAATCCTTCCCCCCTGGTCCTAGAAAATCCAACGCTATTCCAACAAATTCCAACGCAACCCGCTTAACTCGCTGAACTTTGCCTTCAACCCTGAACCCTACATGCTAAGCGTTGATTGACAGCTCTCAACAAGAGCCATGGTCTAAACTCCTAGCATCCCCCTTTAATAACCCCTAATTATAGTAGTCCCCTATATAACCCCTTATATAACCCCCCTAAGGAGCATTGGAAAAGATGCTGTCAGGTCGCTGAGATCTCTCTGCTGCCGAGCGAAGTAGCGACAAGCTCTGCTGGGCTCGCTGCGCCTTCCTTGCTTTGAGGTGTTGGTCGTCTGCCCCCTATCGGGCTTTCCCTTTAAACTCTATAGAGCTATCCATATTATGGGTATATAGTGAACATTGGGGTTTCCTTGCTCTAGTTATCTAAGACAGTTCCTTGACAGCAACCCAGCAATTGCCGCTACGGAGTCGCAGGTTTGAACGATCCATCAGTCTACGGCTGTGTGAAAATGGGGGCTTAGCAGTTATTGTTGTCACTGTTATTACTATTCTTGTGGACATTACACTCAGCTCTGGCATCTGCCTGGACTTCGTAGCTAGGCATCAGCCTGCCTAGCTTGGCTATGTCGAAACAAAACGTTGGGGGTTAGAATGGTTTGCGGATCCTATCCAGTCAGACGGCCATACTGAACGTTAGCACCTCTACAGCATTTCTACCCGAAAACAAGTTGTCATGCCAACAAAAAAATCGAGCCCATCTAATTCGGGAAGCCTTGGCCACAATCCTAGCCTTGCCCAGCAGATTGGCATGTAACCAACACTGAGGAATACAGCAATGCAGGAAGGGATCATGCACACAAGTTCCCAGGACAAGTGCGAGGACTACACATTGCGCGAGTCTTCAATCTGGATACACTAGAGAGGAGTTCTACTACAAGCCTATACAAGAAAACTCCCTTGTCTAAATTATTCCCAGAGTGCCCCACTCTCAAAGCCCTCTCAAGTCACCACACAATGGAAAATAGCTGCTGCTTGCTGTTCTGACGGCACACTCCAGCCACATGGTATGTGGTGCCAACTACCGCCCATAAACCCAAACCGTACCGAATTTACTGAGCTCTCAGCTCTCAAGACTCGCGCGCAAGTCACGAAACTATGAACACGACAAGCTGCGCTAGGGAAGTAATCTCCTCAGGGCAGGAGCGTGGGCAGGATTATCTTGCTGCTCTTGGAGTCTTAGTCTTTTCGTATAAGCTGTAAACAAATAACATGACAGGTGGTATCCAGAGCTTCTTATTTGGCGGATGTCCTCAGCGAGGCTTTGCGATTGCAACAGAGCCACATGTATTGCTGGATCTCTGGGGATTTTCTTCGAAGCCTGGCGGCTCTTCAACTTCCCGCTCAAACTTGCGAGCGGGGGTGTGGGCCTTGTGGATTTGCATCCGCTGTGCGAGGGCTCGCAAAATCAGCTAGGTCTATAGGCAAACACCTCGTATCACATGACGGCGTAGAATAACTCTAAGAACAGCGGCTGCAACTGCAGAATTGCTGAACCATGCCAGCTGCTGTATCTGAAAATTGAGAACGGCAGTAATTAAGTAGTGTCCCCTGTCCCCTTGCCCCTTCCGTAGGCAATTACAGCTTCAGCCCCGCGCTAGCTCAAGCTAGAACAACCACAAGATTCTTGCTCTGCTATAGCAGACTTGCAGCTTGCATTCATCTTACATATATCGCCTCTACTGCTCCCGTTGTTTGAGCTCCTTCGAGGTCAGAGAAGAGGATTCCTACTCAAGCGCCCCTCCCAACAAGGACACAGCGAATTTCCCTGGCAACTCCCACACAAATAATGCAAGACTACATATGAAGGCCTAAACAGAATGCTGGGACGCAGGCTGATGACACGGCGTCATGAAGAGGCGGCTGCGCCTGTTGGTTCAGATTCTCTGTATAGGTCAGTAAAGCTTCAGAGTGCTGAGGCTTCAAGATTCTTGGAGAGGGTGTTCGCAAACATTGAAGATTCTTGACAAGGATGTTCGCGAACATCGGGAAACCAAGCCGTATCTTCAACATTTTGGGTATCTATGCAGGGCAGATTTCTTAGGAACACATAGGAACACGAAGCACTGGGCCTGTTTTGTTGTCCCACTGCGGCCTGGACGAGTCCTCCAACGGCGCCTGGGCTCAAAGCAATCATAGGGGAACAGTTCCTATTCACACTATCACCGTGACAGTTTTAGGCTTGACACTGAACCAAGCACACCGAACATCAGGTCCCGTGGGCATGTGCCCCGTGGCCCTACACCCCATGCCGAACTCAACACAAGTCAAGGGATGATAGCTGAGGATTTCCAGACACTTTTCCGCGCACCTTTGAGCTGCTGAGTTTGAGAGACTCCTTTATCATCCTTTATCAGCATTGCTGGAACACAAGGCCTGCATGGGCCTGAGCTTCGCTTGAGGGTACAGGGAGGTCGCGCCTTCCAACCGCCAGGCGTTCCAATGATGTAGCCAGGGATGCAAACTCCACGCGAGTCAGCGCCAAATCCCCGCACAACCGGTTGAGAAGAAATCCTGCACCCCGCCAAGCTGGAGGCAACTCCTAAGGTACCTGTGCCACATCCCCGGGGCTCTGAGGACCGAGCAACTTACTCTTCAGTCGCCGTGGACGCATCAGCCAGGGTGCACCACCTGCAACAGTCGAATGCAATCATTTGGCCAGAAATCATGCGCTTGAATGCAGCTCCAGTTAGTGAGGCTGGTGACTCGACATAGCTCCTCATGCTTGCAGCCTCTGAGCAGTGATACCTTCAGGTCCCAAAAATCCTGTGCAGCCTCACATATTTACCACCCTCCCCTAGCCTTCCTGGACCAGATGCTGGCTGTCACATCCCTGCCTTCGCATGAATTTCCCCGAACTTCAAACTCTAAGTATGAGGACAGTTGGCCTTGAAGGCCTAGGGTTGCACCTTTGGCTTTAGGACCATGTGGTGGGATGGGTATCTCTTGAAGCACAATTTTTCTAATCTACAGATCTGTAAGTTTTCGTGCGTCCCGACCCTTTCGTACCCTTCTTCTGGAGGGTTAAAGAAAGACTTTGACCCATTGCTCCTCTTTACTCCGAAGCCCGGGCCAGCAACGTCTCCGTTCATACGGCCTGCTGCAGCCCATATCGCCGATCCAGGGTGAGGTATGCGCGGGGCCTGGTGAGATCTGAAACATTCTGAAACTCTCTTTCTTGAGCATGCTTGTCTGCAACGAGTCGTTTGATTGAAATTAGATCGCGGGGTTGTGGATAATGCATACCGCATTTGAACTATCCGGGTGATGCCTTCCGCGGCTTCCGGATCGTGTGGACAGTGCCTCGGCTACACTTACCACTTTGAGCTGCGCGCCGCGCATAGTGGCATCATTAGTGTGAATTTTCTGCATGCACAAGACACCCACTCAAGAGCAAAGTTTAAGTGTCAAAAGCTGATGTGCTGCCAATCCGTCACACATGAGATGCCCCCAAAGCCGCTTGCCACAAACTAAGCCAAGCTGCCGGATCTGCATTCCAGCGGGGCCCACTCAGGCGCATTTGTAAACGGTTGCCGCAACATGGCAGGCTCAGCTGTTGGAAGGTGAGGGCCCTCTGTGATTCAGTGAGGTGCTAGCGGTTTTAATGGGATACCGGCCATCATCTCGACTGACCATAGACCCAGTGATGCAGTTCTTCTCTGCCCAACCTACGCTGCGGATGACAAGTCAAACAGCTGCAGCTCTTGTGGAGCCTCCAGGTAAGCAGTCGCTCAAGATGCCGTAGGAGTTGTTCTACTGCCTTACGCCATGATCAGGATCCGAATCAACGTGCAACATTACTGTCCGCACTCAACTAGATATCATAACTGCCTAGTTTCTAGATGCGCTTGGAACCTCATGAGCCACACTCATCCCACTTCAGGGCAAACCTGGACAGGCGATGACAACATAGAGACAGCAGCCTGAACTCAAGGGCTGAGTCAGCATTATCGCTATTCTTTGACACAGTCAGCTGCACTGTCCTTGACTGCTGCAGCTTTCTGGCATAAGCGGCTCGGAGAGTGTCCTCATGAAAGGGGCGCTAGAAGTGCGCTTCGAACAAATAAATCGCGGCCTGGGTGATTGCTGCATGTTGTGGCGGAAAATTTCATGAGAGCCCCAAAGCAGAACTTTTCTCTTGCAGTGCATCATGTGGCCGTTAGCGTGTCCATCTAGGGATACCATGTCTTCGGTCATCTCATTCCAACAGTCTTTTCCCTCTTGGGAGACTCAAACATTTCAGATGCACATGGAGCTGTGGCCAGGCTGTTGCAGCTGTGCCCTGACTGTCTGTTCCACTGAATTGAGCAGAAGTGCTCAGCATGCGCAACTTCGAGCTTGACCTTCATTTGCTGGATGGCAGCGTTCACACACAGTTCGTGCCTTTTGCCAAGAACTTCGAGCCTTTTGCCATCATACGAGGTGCGCAGTCCATTAGAAGCTAGGCGAGAACTGTACTCAGGATGCCTGAAGAAGTCAAGACCCATAGGGCCATACATAGCAAGCCAAAGCTCATCAAAGTATATGTTGTCGGCGCTGCTTGTCCAATCTTCCTTGATGGAGCCAAAGGTGCAGCGCCAACGTTGCGGACCTGGATCGAAACGTGCCTTCGCATGCTTAACCTCGACCCTAACACCATCTCGAATCCAATCTACCGCTGCATTGTGTTCTCCCCGTCTACGCCCTTTCACAACCTCACCGGAAGCACTTGTGAAATTGCAACGCGGGTTCTGCATCTTGTCAACTTCGAACGCTATCTTCTGCACGCGGAGTGCGCGAAGTGACGGACCAATGTCATTCAAGGGTACCTGGTCGTAAACGCGCTCATAGAAATGATCTGCACTGCGCAGCAGCTCAGCATACAGTGCAGAAATCTGCCAATCAAACTTGTTGGCCCTGTGCACGAGCTTGCAATCCCCCTGCCGCACTAGCCTTGTCAGGATCCTGTCCAAAGATTCTTGCCAGGTCTGACCGGACCGTCCCTGAACATATATCGTGTGCCCTTGTGCCTGCGTACATGCGCCTGATTTGGAGACTCCCGTCTTCAAGTCATGCTGCACAAGATAGAACCCACCAGGCGTGTAGATCAGTAAGTAGAGCTCATCGAAGGGCTGAGTCTGCCTGGCCCCATCTCTTTCCAGCTTCACATGCCTGAAGGAAACCCTCCAAGTGCTGTGGCTGGGAATAAAACACAACTTGGCAGCTTTCAGCTCGACGCGCTGCCCTCCAAGCGTGAAATCCCATTCTGCCAGGTGAGGTGGGCGGCGACGACCGTTGACACAAGCTAGCGTGGAGCAAGCGTTTTGCACCCGACGTTCCGGATACGTTTGCTCCAACATTCTTCTGCCTAGACTCTCCAGCAACATGCCTCGGCGCCGCTCGCTTATCCTGGCCAGTGGGTCATCTCCATATGCTACGCAGGTGGCGCCTGTATCCTCGATGATCTGCTGGAACCGAGACGATTCCAGCGCAAGCAGCCATCGACGAGAACCGCGCCTTCTGCAAAAACAAGGAAAAGCAGACACTGTGTACCGGGCCCACATCCTGAGCAAAATCGCCCCGTCTACCCTCTGGCTGAGCCCTGCTCTTTTTGGCAGTGGCCACGGACCACGAGAACAATCTCCGTGACAGCCGGAAGCTAATATACCCTTGCATGCTTATGCCAGAGAATTTGTGAACTCTGCACAACTCTTTACGGAACAACACCCCACGATGGAGCCCCGTACTGATCTGATTGATGACCTGCAGGCGATGTAAAAACTGCTTCGAAAACCTTCCAGTCCCGGGAAAGGAACTTTCAGCTAGCGAGGCCCAATGCCAAACTTTGATATTTGCCACTACAAAACTGACAAGCTTCACGCACTTAAGCAACTCTAGAAGTTGCACTAGCTGGGCTGGTGATGCAGAAGTCCCCGACAACAAAGGCTGAAATTTCTGCGGCACAGACCCACCCAAAAGAAATTGTCTGGGGGTGGTGGCCTGGACTCGTGTAGATATTCACAAGTATGGTCGTCGGTGAGCGAATAGGCGGCCACTTGATTGAGGAGGAGGCCCCGCGTAAACCCCGGAAGATCACACAACAAACCCAGAATCCACAGTTGTCTGCACTTCACGAGTAGCCCCATGAGAAAGAGACGCCCAAAACCTGCTGTCAACAGTATTGGCCCTGGCTCCTAGGTCTGAGTCCAAGGTTTACACTGCAAAGCACCACTTGCGCGCTTGCAAAAAAACGCTCGCTCAACTCGATGGATGAATCCTCCTGCCGCCGAGGGATGCTATGAACGAACACAGATGGCGTGAATGGATACTGGGGTATACTTCCAGAGTCAGTGAATTTCAGACAGCATGACAGTAAGACGCATGTTGCCGGTTCAAATTTTGAAAGGGTTGTGTTGTCATATAATCTTTGACAGAGCAAGATTTCAGTCCCCTGGCCCTGACCCTCCACTCGTATTACACGCTGGGCACCCCGGTGTGCCAGCAATCTGCTCCACCGCCAGCTTGTCCTCCATGCTGAAAGGTCCGGACAAAAAAAGGGGCGGGAGGGATGGTTTACTAAGCGAATATAACGGCATGAAGCAGGATTTCAAGGTATCGGATTTTGAGGCGTCCTTGTTTGAAGAAACTCTTCAGGATCTCCGCTGGGACTCCACAGAGCAAGTTGCTGAATGTGCGAAGCTAGAGGAATGTTTGGATTAAAATGAAGGGGTGCCTCCAAATGTCGTTCCCTTTTCAGGCTGTGTCTTGGTGCCATTAGCAAGACCCTTGGATCTGGAACGTCGGGCTAGAAGTCTGGTGAAGCTCTTGCACGTCAAACGCTGTCAGCACTTGCTCCTGAAATGCCGGTCAACTATTATAGGTGTCCAACAAATGGGCATGCCTGCATCTGTTCATGACATGTCCTGCCAACAACTTCGGGAATTCCTCCAAAACAACTACATCACCAGGTATCCAACAGAAACGCTGGCGCACGTTAACTTAACCACCGGCCTGGCCTCTCCGCTGTTGTCCTTCACCGCAGCTGCCAAGCCTTTAAAAGGCATGGACTGACAGGATGTGGGCGGTTTCGCTTAAAAGTTTAGGATCTGGGGTGTAGGGTTCCCTGAAACCGCACTGGACTGGGCTCTGGGCCGAAGTCCGCCATCTTTGGCGTGCCGTCGGCATCAAGGAGGATGTTTGCCGGCCTTTCGAAAGGATTTCAACATGTCATGGTCGCAGATTTGCAGGATTCAGATCAAACTGGTGATTTTTCGGTGCTTTAAAGCTCGCTGGACGTGAGGCGTCAAAAGACGCATGCTACGAGCCTTCAAGGTGGGATTTGTGCATGAAGGTTGTCGGGGCTTTCAGGGGCAGCAGGTGAAGTTATGAAGGGATGTCCGAGAGTTTGCGCTCCAACCCGAAGATATTCAGGACCTGGGCCTGTGAGAGCAGAGCCAATAGGTCATCGGGGCTTTGGCGATCAAATCTTTCTTGAAGTGTGAAAGCTGTCTATTGGAACAGAGGCCTCAACATTGAACTACACGTGTAGAAAACTTCCAGAATCCTAAATGCAATAAAGCCCACTTGAAGGCGACAACTGCTTGAAACACAACTTGCTGAGGACGGAGCTTGATGTCGCGGTGGAAGGTTTTCCTAGGTTGCTTTGGACAGCCAACTGAAACACCCACAGGGAGATCAGAAATCGCGGCTCGCTTAGTGTCTGAGCTTCAACTCTTGCAGTAGAAATACAAAAGGCCTAGCCTGGGTCTGAAGATCAAAGCCACTCACAACTTGTTTAGCAAAGCACAGTTGAGCAAAACTTGCAAAAAAAAAACGAGGAAACCACAGAACTATAAACCCATGTCCAGACAGCAATGCCTGCATCAGGTTCACGGTGGCGTTCATTGTTGCGGAGAAATCTCCGCATATATATCTGCCCTACAATCCATAATTCATTCTAGCGACCGTATCTTAAGCCGTGCAAGATTTGGACTTTTCAAAATAGCTTTCTTTGTCCGTGAGTCCCTGCCAAAAGTTCCTTCTTTTTTTGTCGCAGGAAGCTGTACAGAAACCTTGGCTGCTTTTCGACTGATTATGATGGCCACCCTGGCTGTCAAGACAAACTCGCTCCATGTAAACGAAAGCCTAATCCTTCAACTGCAAAAAAACATTCCCTTCATTCTCTGGAATAAGTGCCGGAATGCTTGGAAGCTTTCCTCAAAAGACCCTTCGAGCGCTAGGGATTCTACATGCGCGCCAAAGGGCGGCTGGCTGCCAACCATGTGCGCCAAGCCCCTTGCTGCGCCTTAGGGGTGACGAATGGTATTTTTTTGTTTTTTTTTGTGATCTTTGTGCATGTGTGTATTTATGGTTCCTGCCTGTTTGCCCATCGCATGGAATTTGCCCCATGTAGATGTTCTCTTGTTGGGCTGGCTGCAGGAACTGCAAGCTCCAAGGTTCAAACGCCAATGGGTCATGAACAGTCAAGACCACAGGCTTCTTGCCCATGCATGCATTTACAGTAGTTCCCGGCCTAGTTCGGATGCCAAACCTAAGCCAAAGATGGCTTGACACAAGACAGTGGTGTGCCCATGCGTTGCCCATAAGCCTCCTTGTTTGTAATTACAGGTCCGCAGGATAGTCAACAGTCCGTAAGTCTTTTCTGTAAATAGACACTACTCAAAAAACAAACGGAGAAACTGTAGAGGAATGAAGCTTCTGAGGAAACAGAGGCGTGTGCCCAACGCCACTTGCAGCCTCTGATGCCACGGAAACGGCGCCTGCCATGGCATTCCCCGAGCCCACAACCCTGCAATGTTCAGACACTTCTCATTCAATGTGCCATAGTACAAATCTACATGCTGGAAAGCCTGAAAAACTGCTACAGGATTTGGCGTAAATATTATCCGTTGCTTTGGGCATGGCGCAAACTACGGGAGGGCTGGGGTCTTACCTGTTTAGAGCTCAGAAGATTCCACTAGCCTGGACTTGGGATGTATCCGGCAAACAAGACCAGGGGTGTCGCTGATTCGTGTCTGATTGCTGAAGGACCAGTTTTGATGCGTGATGCTTTTGACGCTTGCACCTACCATGAGGTCTTGAGTGTATGTATAATACCTTCACGGTGACTTATAGGATGCCTGTTAAGCACACCCAACCGAGCTGGTTGCCAAAGCTGACGATTCTAGGCCCCAAGCCTCTAACTCTAACCAATGCCCATGAATTTGACACTTTTTCAGGGCACTATTATATTTATTATCGAAACAAGACCAAGAATCTTAAGCAGAGCACGAAAAAAAAAAGCAAAGGCTTCAGAAGTCACCCCCCCAAAACTACACCGTATGAGTGGCTTTTACAGGACAACTGTCAAAGTGCAGCTGCTTGTCAGCTTTCACGTTCCTATGGGGCAGGCCTGGCTCATGTCGGCAGTTGGCCCAATCTTCCTTAGCACATCAGACGGGTGTCTCAAAAAATTTGGATTAGGGCATAAGCCTTTCAACAGATTGCTAGTGCTACTGGCGCCAAACTTCAACAAGCTCGGCGGATATGTCACGCTTCTGGGCCAAGGGGCTGCACTTGCTCCAGCCACGCGCGACTTTGCCGAAGCTTGACTTCAACATCGCCTAAGCTTGCATTTCGATATGAGACCAGGCAAGGGCTCAGCTATGACCTTCGCCTGTCCGGATTGAATCTTACTATGCCCTGATCATGTCGTCAGTTCCGCTCCAAACTGACCTCCTTCACCTTAAGTTAATAATGCCTATAAGCCCCTACATGACATACATCCAGTTTCCAAAGCATGTCCTATTCTCTTGTGCGTTTGATTCTGCCTACTGCTTCCTTTAAACCTATCCTGCGCTACTCCGCGCCCTGGTCACCCTTCAAGGTTGCCAGGTCTTGATACCCTTTGCTGGGAGTGCGCGCCGCCGGGCATCAACTCGTAGACCAAGTACCTCGCTTTCTGCGCGAGGTTTAGGGCTTGTACAAAAAGGCGAGCTACAGGCAGTGTAAGGGAGGTGGATGCGAGGGGCAAGTTTGCCCAAATAACGACCAAATCAGGGGTATGATGCCTACGTTAAATTAAAGGTAAATCCCACAATAACACCCCCAAGCTCCATGAGTATGTGTCTTCAACACTTCCTATTGACAGGAAACGTATGGACCCTAATCAATCCTTGGTCAGTTCCTAGGGAGTCCCGTGGATGACAAGTTACATGTGCTGCAAGACAAGAGCGGCGCGCAACATGGGGCTGCAGTCATAAGACCTGATAGGAGGCCCACTAAAAGAGCTCAAGAACACACAACCCATGCGTTGTAATGAATGAGGCTGAACAACCTCAATCAGACTAATGAATGTTGAGCATGCGCCTACAACGGCCTTGAGCACTTTCATCTTTTGGTGATGCTTCTCCTAAAGCCGTTCAGCAGCCCTCTGTCCATCCTGCGTGTGGTCCGCCCCAAACCCTAAAACCCAAATCCCTGTCCTGAACCCAGAAACCTTACAGTAGCCTTTGCCAAACCCTACCATCGAAGCCCAAAAATCCTTAACCCCTATTACCCCCAAACCCTTACGCGCAGACCGGGGTAAAGCGTTCCAGTGCTCTGGGGCACTTCTGTCCTTCTCGTTGGCCAAAACCTGGGCTGTGCAAACTCAGGGTCGGGCTAATCAACTACGAAAAGAGTACAAGAGGAGTTTGGTAGCCCACCCCCCCAAATAAGGAACCTATGGCCCTACTTTTGGGGGTTAGGGCTACCAGAACTCTCTGAGCTGTGACGGAAGTTTACGGCTATCCAGGCTTCCATTAATTAGTGTTCACGATCTGCTCGGCAAGCTTCGCATCTAGACTCAGAGCCCGCGCATGATCGAAGCATTTCAAGAAAAATCCTAGACCCCAAAGCAACACATCCCTAACCTGCCTGGCTCCTAGTTTATAAGCATCTTAAGCTTTTCCAGGCCGGCCTCAGAACCAAATCCTCATGCAGCCAAAGGGCCCATGAGAGTCACTAAGTGAGGATGCCGGAAACGACTGAGAACCCGAACCTGCCGAGAGAGAGGAACAATTTGTTCTGCGGCTTGCTTTCTGTAAGCAGCTTTGTGTGTAGGTTTCACAGGTTGCGTTTGGGGTTTGTCTATTCCATATGTCTCTTCGGAATGAAGAATTACTGCCCAAGATGTCGACACGTGTCGGCGCATACGTTGCTTGCAAGCTATAGTGTTTCTGTTTCAACGGCTGCATGCTAGATGGCTGACACCTACACACCGGCAGCTTGTTGGCTGAAAGCTACAACTATAAAATGAAGATGTCTGATGCGATGATCGACGAACTGAAGCAAGTACCTCCAGAAAAAGTCAACCACGGAAAATCGCTTACTCTGAAGGCAGTTTTCTCCAGACGTTGAACCACGAAGCCACAGATAGCCGCAGTACTCAAACCAGTCTCCTTTAAGCATCCAGAACCACAAAAAGGCCTCGAAGCCTCCTAATTGCAATATTCGTGCCATGTGGAGGTAGCTATGTCTGCCTTTGAAAACCGAGACAAACTCTTTAGTGCAACATTGTGAGGAGAACGCCCATCTTGCGGCGTGGGATTGAGCCTAAAGTACTGTTCCCCAAATTGGATGAAAATTATATAGGGACCCGTACCATGATAGAAACCTAGATACAGGGACCCCGTATGGTAGTGACTTTCGACAAAACACCCAAATGGTAGGATTCCAGCTCTCAATCTAGACCTTCAACCTCTCACAGCACCACATCCTTTTTCGACGCGCTTGGCGTGTCGATTCAGATTGCAAGGGGAGTTTTAAGGGCTGGGAGTTTGCGATGCAAGGAATGGCTATTAGCAGCCCAATCTTTGGCAAACTCCCTTCTAAGATTTCCTAAGAGGGCACCCTGCAAAGAGCAAAGGCAGACACAAAGGGTCCAAGTACCTATGGAACAGCTACTTCACCTAGGCCTGGAACTTTTTTTGTCTTCGGAAGCCGCTGAGCGGAGCGCTACTTACGTTTACTTCTGCTATGGGGATTCTTGGGCCTGAGAGCCAAAACGAAGTGTCCATCTTTTGCTGAAAAGCCCAGTGCTTGCTGTAATTAGCATACTGAGTCACTGTTAGTACAAGGCTACCTCCTCCTTTCATCAAGTATTTCCACATAGAGCTGATACCGACGTATAACTAGATGCAAGGAACCTTACGCCAGAGATGAT